GTTGGCATATGACTCGAGAGCTGAAGCTACATCCGTGGGACTGGACCGTGTGCTCAACTTCCTGTGTATCGAGCTGGAAAGCCTGGAAAAGAGTGATTTTAAGGATGCCAAAGAACGAGAACATGGAACACTCCCCGTGGCCAGTCAGTCGACGTACTCTCGGCGTGGGAAACCGACGTCATCTGTGCTTCACAGCAACTCGGTACGAGAAAAAAAGGACAACTGCGTATTCTGCTCGTCCAGCCATCATGGATCGAAAGCCTGCACAGCTGACTTGTCACTGACGCAGAAGAAGCAACTGCTTTCCAACGACAAAAGGTGTTTCCGCTGCACCACCAAAGGACATCGGGCACGAGACTGCAAAAAAAGGATTTCCTGCTCCAAATGCCAAGCTCGACACGCTACAACCATGTGCGATCCCGATAGGTGTTCGCGGAAGTCAGACTATGCTAACAAGAACCACGAAAAAACTACGACAGTCTGTGCATCACTTGGAAGAAGACCCGTCAAGGAAGACTCTACCACTTCCGTTTTTCTTCAGACTTTCAGAGCATGGGCCATGAATGATGACACCTGCCGCTACATACGAGTCGTTTTCGATGGTGGCAGTCAGAGGACTTTCGTAACTGAAGATCTGTCCAAGCACCTCAAGCTGAAAAGCGTGGGAGCAACTCAAATAGCCTTCAATACTTTCGCAAATACATCGGACCAAGAGGCTAAGAGGCGTCGCATAGTAGAACTACGACTGCGAAGCCAGTTTTCCGACGCGGAAATAGTCTTAACTGCCATAGAGATCCCAAGCATCTGCCAAGACATCGCAGAGACTGCAATGGACGTAGCCTTCGTTGCGTCTCAAGTGGAATCAAGATTCCACTTGATTTTCTAGCGTGCGCATCAAATTTGCTGAATTTGTTGTCCATTTTCGCAATGTCATGCCGGCCGATTTCATTATTGTGCGCGCTTCTCGGCATAGTTTAGCGGCTTCCTCTTCTGTGTCGGCACCAGTGACTAAGTCGTCCACGTAAAACGACTCGGCAAGAGTTTGCGCAGTTTGTGCCATGACAGCCGGTGCTCTTTTCACGTGTTAGAGAATAGTAGCTGTGAGCAAAAATGGGCTACACTATGCCGCCCAACTTCAAGAACGATCAGTTCGGGTACGAGTTATTTGATTCCTTGACACACAAAATTACCTGAACACGAGCTAGTTCGTCAACAAGCCTTCTAGCATCATAGCAAGGAACGTCCCGGAGATGCGAGGTTGAAGCAGGCTGCTACGATGACCAAAGATGAGACCCATGAAGGCAACTACCGAGCGAAAGTTCAACGGCGGCGGCAATTAAGGCCAAACTAGAGGAAGCCACAAAGCACGTTCCCCGCCCCCAAGATACACCTGCCTCCACGAGGTCACACTCAGAAGATTGCGAAGACGAAGTATCATGACTATATTGGTCTTGCACAAGATACATCCGACAAAGTACTCCGACTTCAACTGTGACTACTGCCACGAGCCAGCAACGGCGGCCCATGTCCTTTGGGAATGCCACGTTTGCGAATCAAGCCAAGCTGCTTTTATGGAAAAAGTCCAACGTACCCTGCCTAAGCTACAGCAAGACATGGAAGGGACTACCAACTGGATAATTGAAGACCCACTCAACAGAGCCAGGCTGAACCTGTGGTGTGCTCCCTTGCGCACGATCGCCACTCCCTGCCCAGCAGTAACAAGCTGACCAGTTTGAGGTCACCCGAGTTTTTTTTCATGGTGCTGAAGCTAACAATGGAGAGCACATTCCAAATAATCCAATAAAGTTTTCAATCAATCAATCAATGGCTAGCATTGCGTCGCTGCGGTTAGCGTGCACGTGCGTTAATGTTACGTGCACTCGCCACCATTTCGTTTGCTCCACATATACCAAGTTTGGTATTACAGGATGTGAAAAGAAGATGAACGTATGTGACTGGTGCAAACATCATAATCAAGAGATGCGTGTCATGTAACAACATGACCACATGTCACACTCATAATGAGCTCACGGCTGTTTCGCTAGCTCCACATATACCAAATGTGGTATTGCATGACGTGAATAGACGAGGAAGGTAAATGACACGTCGGAACATAACCATGAGATGCGTGTCATGTGACAACATGACCACATGCCACGCTCACGATGCGCTGGCGGCCATTTCGCAAGCTCCGAATATAAAAAATTTGGTATTGCATGACGTTAACATACGACGAAGGTAAATAACACGTCTGAACATAATAATTATGGTATGCGCGTCATGTGAAACAGGACTACATGCTACGCTCATAGCGTGATCGCGGCTGTTTCACTAGTTCCCCATATACTAAATTTGGTGTGACGTGACGTGGACAGATTACGCAGATAAATGACGCGTCCAAATGTGGTACTTATGACATGCAAGTCCTGTACGGCATAATTTGCGTGCCCCTTGTAACGTTTTGCTGATTTTAAAGTGCCTTGTCAACCTTCCTCATTCGTACTTCGCATATCATCGATCCCCACTGTACGTGGGATCTGCCATTTTTTTTCTCTTCACTTGACAACCCAAAAGTGAAATGAACACTGAGCAAGCACTCAGTAAAGAAGGAAATGCCGGTAAATTTTAACGAGCCCTAAAACAACTATTGCAGCATGAAACAATACATTTACATGGCCGCACCATCCCCAGACATTTTTATGCATTCTCAGTGCTATTACTACGAACTCCAATCCATAAAAATTATGGTGTCACGCTTTAGTGCTTCAGTGTCTGAATGGCTGTAGTGCTTGCTGTAAAGAGTTTGTCGGCGCTTGTAATGCAAAGTATTTTTTTTCCTGCTGCAAGCACTTTCAGCGTCTATCTATCTATCTATCTATCTATCTATCTATCTATCTATCTATCTATCTATCTATCTATCTATCTATCTATCTATCTATCTATCTATCTATCTATCTATCTATCTATCTATCTATCTATCTATCTATCTATCTATCTATCTATCTATCTAATCTATCTATCTATCTATCTATCTATCTATCTATCTATCTATCTATCTATCTATCTATCTATCTAGACTCCTACGTCTGGGGAATCAACCCCTCCGCGTGCACCCCAATAAGTTTGGGAGGGTGAAAACATGAATAATGTCACAATCCCGTCGTGTGTACGCCGTCGAAACCTTACCGCCAAACAGTGGCACATACCAGCAGCATTGCATGTGCCACTGGTATGCAGGTATGTGCCACAAGTAATTGACCCTTAGTACACACCCAGGAACGGCGAGAACGCAGATGGCAAACTTAACGCATGAGCATTAAGAAAAAGATGACATCGGCAGCGTTTCCCGAAGAGTACAAAAAATAAAAGTCAGCGTTCCAGCAAGAATACATTAATTGTTGGGGTTAAATGTCATGAAAGTGCCACTATATATAAGTAGGAATTGAACACAAGACTTCTGCGTGGCAATCATGTACTCCATCACACAGCAGCGCCTGCTCTCGGAACTTTCCAAAAAGACACTAATGTCCGCGAAGCGTCAAGTGCGGTTGCCGTGCTGGCTATCCAATTTTTTAAACATTACATGTGTTCTCCTGTGATACAGCCGTCACGTCGGGTTCACGTCTATTCTTGTGCCATTCACTGAAGTCAATTTATGTAGCAGTGTCAAGGCCAGGGCTACCATTCTCGCGAGCACCAGCGCTTCATATCTGCTTACCACTCCTGGTCACGCTAATACTTAAGTTCTTGTTGGCATCATTGCTCTAGTGGAAACAGCTTGGTAAATAAACACCTGCAACTGTTCAACATATGTATGTGCTTGCAACGCTTCTACAAATTGATCAATAAAAAAGTCACAACGCGGTCAGCTTCTTTCCGCATTTTACGCACAACGTCGATTCCCAAGATACGTGAGATCTGCCGATTTTTTTTTGCTTGCTTCTACCACATTTTTTGGTGAATTGTATAGACAAAGGTACTCTTTATTGTACGTCCTTGCGGCAGTCACCACTTTTCTCGCCGTCATTGTGGGTGAATTTTATTTACGCTATTTTCTACATTTGCTTTCTATAAATATTTTTCTTTTGCTGCATATTCCTCCCTTCGCGCTTTATAGGAGATACTCTTTCTTCTGCAGTTGTAATTATTGCGACTGCAGTTAGCTCCACTGTATCATTTATTTTATGTATAAAACATTTACAGGTAGTTCCACTGAAATTATTTCCCCTACCTCGTCTGCAAAGGACAACGGCACTTGGGGGTAAATAAAATGTAAGAAAAAACAATGACAAAGATTGAAGCAAAGGAGGGTTTAGAGCACGTCATTTGTTGTCTTTTCATTGTATATTGGTAACTAAAATAAGACTGTGAACCTAATAAGATAGGGGAAAAGATAACAACTCGCTGCCACATTTTCACTCTCATAAGGGCGCAGCGCGAAAGACTAGGATAATTTTGGCGCACGTGTTGAGGTACATCTATAGGCGTCCTTCACGCTGCTCCTTCAAACATATGCAACCAACTTTCAGACAAGATCACACTCTGTATATTGATTCATAATTATATGCTAATTACTATGCAACTAAAGGAGCTCAAATGTAATTGTCGTGCCTCAATTACTTGGTGAGTTTTTTCTATGAAGGCTATTAATTAAACTTTTATTATTATTATTATTATTATTATTATTATTATTATTATTATTATTATTATTATTATTATTATTATTATTATTATTATTATTATTATTATTATTATGTGATAACTCTTCTTTCCTGACTTCCTCTGTGCGCACTCAAACAAGTTTCCTGTGCAAAAGAGTAAGATCGGTGCACAAGTCCTTACCTTGCTTGCAGAGCATTCAGCTTAATTTCTTCGGTATGATTGTGGTATGATTTCATTTACTTTAGGCGCTGTTGAGGACCAAGCGCGTGTACCAAAAGTTCACATGCGCATACGAAGCACCCATGATGCAGATTTTATAAACAGAGATGAGAACTCACTCGGTGCATGGGTTCGTTGTCTAGACCTTCTTCGAAGTCCTGGTCCAGGTTCCCGGATACAGCGCGCCGGATTTCGGGCCCCATCTCGTGGAGTTCCCTGAGGCCCGCCTGGAGTTCCGGACAACCGGCTTGGTCAACAATATACAGACAACCACAAATGTACGTTTGCGGACCAAGCGAGCACGTACCAAACTGCCTTTCCCAGGCACCTAACGTTGTGCCATCTGTACCGTAGACCACATTGCTAGGCTGGAAACAGCGCATAGGCCAATAAAGCGCCTTGTTAATTCACAGTTTTCACGCGAATCGCTTATTTACAGTATGACACTCATATTTCCATTTTTGTGGCCGGACCAACAATAGGTCTGCGTGCCTCGAACGGTGTTCGGTTCGTTAGTTATCACTTAGTGACAAAGATTGCAACTGATAACAGTTATGCTCATAAACTGTTTTCTAGGCACAAGCACGCACACGCAGATGCCAGAAAGTGACTCCCGTACGAAGGGGAAAAGTATTCGTATCCAGAAGGATAGAATAAGGGAGGGCTAGGCCTCGGGCGCTGAGGTGCTGTCGATTGCCGCTGACGTAGCGTAAGTGTCGCGATAAGGCTTTTGTTCGCGCGTTCGCATGGTCCGTAATGTTGTGTGGTCGACTGTCTGTGTTGCAAAGCATATTGTTTGGCACAGTTGAGGTGGAAGATGCGCTCTTATGCGCAAGTCTAGCCACATGTCATAGTTGAAGATTGCAGCATTTTCGATATTCGACAACTGTTACGTTGGGCCTAACAAAACTATCTTTAGGTAGTGTTTAGACTGTCTACAAATGGGTTAATACAGACTAAACCGAAGGTTCTAATAACTGCATTACCGTGTAAGAATCATTCATGCTTCTCTTTTGTGTTTGAAGTAATCTTCGAGATCAACTTGACCAACTAGCAACTACAAAGCCAAGGAAGTTTCGCACGCGGTAATGGATTGAGATTGTGCAACACATTTCAAGTAGCTTGTCTGATCACCCTGAGGCTTTCAGAGATGACATTGTGGTTTTTAACGCGCTATGGCAACGCCTTTCAGCTCATGGAAAGGCGACATCCGCGGCAGGATGGAACCTACGTCTTTCAGGTCAGCAACCGAACACCGTAGCCAAAAAGGGCCATTTTTATATGCATTCTTCATCTTCATATCGAATTCGCAGCCCAGCCCAGAACACATTAAACAAGAAAGATAACAAGTACAATGAAGATAACTAGTATAATATACGCAGCTGGTGCTTCTCGTCACCTGGCAACCGTCATGAACCAATGACGCGAAATCATTGCGTTCATAGATGGGCGCCTTCGTGAAGGCCCGCTAGAAGAAGGCCCGCTTGCCGCCCTGATTAGGGCTGCAGGTGGCTTGCGCGTGCCTCTTTGAGACGTAGCATGTGGCTGGCTGGCGCAAATGAACGGCGAGTGCTTATTGCTCAATGCGGCGCTTACTGAGCACTCTTTGATATGCGCACCAGGGTTACGGAAGCCATATTACCTAGAAATTTCGGAGGCGGTTTGAAATGAAAGGCATGTAACGCTTCCACCGACCTGTGCTTGCTTTGATTGTCCTGCAGTGAATTTCATCGCGCCATTCCCGGTTACATAAGCTCCCGCCAGACTTCAGTTAGCAAGCTTATGTATGTGCCCTTTGGACACCTGCCTTGCCTTCATACGCGCCGCTGTGTTCCACTGCTCGCCCTAAAGTCGCGAAATCGAATAACTGGCCGCGGCAACTGTATTTCCGTGGAGGCAAATTGCTGGAGATGCGTGCATACATTTAGGTGTACGTCAAAGAACTCGGGACAGCTTTAAGGAGTTTTTGTGAAACACTTCAGGTTGTGGAAATTTCTGGCACCCTCCCCCAGCGCATCTCTTATAACCATATCATAGTTTCGGAACAAAACTGCTGTTTTTACCCTGCCTTCATAACAACTTTAACCCATGTGCAACCATTTGGGTGAACCAATATAATAGCAGACCAGCAGTCTCGGCTGAGCTTGTGGGGAAAAACGAAACAAGAAGAAGCGGGCAAGCAAGGTTGGTACTACTCTTATCAGTCCTGCTTTTTTTGTTTTCAAAGAAATTAAGGTCTATTTGAAGTGCACGAATCTATTGGCACTGCAAAAAAAATAGAACCGTCTACTATAAATTAATTTCTGAAAGATATGAGAACACTCCAGCACAGTGTGCTTGCCTGCAGGGCGACGGTGCTTTCGTTGGGCTCCTTTTGCGATGCTCGCTCCTCTTTGCGCTTCTTGAACCTCCGGAAGTAGTCCTGGATCAGGAAGGTCGCGTAGAACTTCCCCACCGTCACATCATCGTCCGCTACGAGACACAACACCTTTTAGGTGAAACAGGGCACGCACAACAGTTCTTGCGACATTTCACTGAACGCTTGCGTGCAAAGTGTTTTCCCAAAACACAGACGAGATCACATTGAACAAATATTTCCAGCTAACTTCATAATGTTGAAAGAAAATAATTTGCTTACTGAACAGCACAGGACGGAATAAAAGAAGATGATAATGATCAGCAGATTCGTACAGTAAAACATGTACTAGATTTAATCAGTCCTGTCTTGGAGAATGTGTACAATCTTTCGCTGGCGAAAGGCATATTTTCAAAGTGCATACGAATCACTAAGGTAACAAGACTTTTAAAATCTGCGATAGAAACACGTTTTTCTACTGTAGACCAATATCAATCCTGTCTATTTTTTCTAAATGTCTTGAAAAGCTGTTACTTGTAAGGATAACGTCATTTTGTAACAAGCACAATCTACTTAAACATTTTCAACTTATATTCATAAAAGGTCGCTTGACTTAATTAGCCTCATTAAATCTAAAAGAAATATTTCTGCGAGGCTTTGAAGAAAATTTGGTGACCCTTGGCATATTCATCGATTTTTCAATGGTCTTTAATACCAAAAATCACAGCACTTCACTAACAAAACTTGATATCTACGGTTTTCGGGGTACATGTATGAACTTCATCATAAGTTATCTGCAGTACAGGTATCAAACTGTTGATATAGGCAATCACTATTAAAAAAATTTACCGATACGTGCTGGGGTTCCGCAAGAAATCAATTTAGGACCTCTATTGTTTAAAATTTATATAAGCGACTTAACAAATATCAACACTAGATCATGGTTTGTTATATATGTGGACGAGACCAGTTTATTTATGAGTTCCAGAAACGTTGAAGAGCTAGTCAGTACTGCCAATGATACTCTAGAACAAATAAACTAGTTAGATTTGTCAAACTCCCTAACTAATAATGAAACCAAAATGAAGAGTGCTTTTTCAACCAAAGAACAAAAAAACAAATGGTCCATGGATGTCTTCAAACAGAAACCTCAGTGATAGAAGTAGTGCCTTCAGTCAAGAGTTTAGGTGTCATTTTTCAGGAAAACATGTTATGGAATGAACATGTCTGCATTATTTTCTACAAGCTTGCTAGAGTTACAGGTATACTTGTAAAATTATGCCACTGGTTGCCATTAAAAGTGAAGATCTTACTTTATAATTATCTTTTTCTGCCCCATATTAGCTACTGCCATCTCGTATGTGCAACACAACCAGCTCAAACACCAACATTTTAGTCGTGTTGCAAAAGAAAGCCATTCGAACAATTTCAAATGCTCTATTTGATGCATACACTGATCCTATTTTTGACTTGTTAGATATAATGCCAATAAAGGCAGTGTACAATACAATTCTACTCGAAAACTCACCAGCCTCGAGCTGGTCACTGACCCAGCGGCACCAACTAGGCAGGGCAACAGCGTCAGCACTGATACCACGCTGGACCTTACCTTTACGTGCAATACACGAAAGGTGACTTGGAGAAACACCATGCAAGACTTGGGCAGTCACCATTACATTATCTCTATAGATGCAGAAGGCGGTCCACATGAACACAATGCCGGTCGCCAAATGAAGATCACCTATTGGAACTACTACGGAACAATCGAGACAAGCAACAGATTGAAGACATCAAAGACATTGAGCAACGGACCGACCAACTTTGGCGCGACATCGAGAGGGCGACGCAAATGATGCCATCAACAGCTGGGCTTGGTAGAATAGACACCTGGTTACTGCACATGTGGCAAGCCAAGACCCAACTGCATCGCCGTTGGAAAACACAACGACATAATAGCAGACTGCGAAAACGAATAGCCACAGCTCTACAAAGAAATAGAAAAGCACGCACTTAACCTGCGACAACAGCAAAGGGAAGAGAAATACGCGCAGATGGATGGTCAGCTCACTACGAGTCGCACATGGCAGATACTGCAGTACCTCATAGATCCCGCGAACACCAAGACCGCACGGAGGCAAGGCATATGCAAAATCGCACACGCTTACGGGGGAACTGAGCAAGATTTCCTACGGGAAGCGGAACTCCATTACATATCCCAAGCGCCCCTGCAAGTACAACCGGACTACAGGGGAGAAGGCAACGTCATCCTAGACGCAGAGTTCTCAATTTCCGAAATCGCCACAAGCGAGCCACAAGCACGATGCAACTCATCCGACGCATCACGAACAAACATGCGGGCATGCGCGAAGGCAGCGTCATACGACTCCTACAAGCCTTTGATATTTCCAAACTAATGTACATGACACCATTTCACAAATGGACAGTTGCGGGAAAAGACAAGCTTAACGCCCTGATACGCAAGACGTACAAGTTCGCGTTGGGACTGGCACCCGGAGTTAGCACCAGCAAACTCCTAGAGCTAGGGTTACATAACACCCTCGAGGAACTCGTGGAGGCACAACAAGTTTCCCAGCTCGAGCGCCTATCCAAGACCCGCACAGGCCGACCCCTACTCGAAAAACTTGAAATCACTTACCATACGCAGCACGGCATCAAAGTCGAAATTCCACAATCGGTACGCGAGCAAGTATACATACCCCCATCGCCTCGCAACATGCACCCCCAACACCATACGGGACGGAGTTAAGCCAGGGCACAACGCATTACTCAAAGCTACTCCAACGACACTGAAGCGGTTTTCACTGATGCCGCGCGTTATACCAATAAAAAGAGTTTCGTGGCGGTAGTTACCGGCCATCGTGGCAAATACATCACAAGCCTCACTGTGAACACGGCACACGCTGAAGCGCCAGAGGAGGCGGCGATAGCACTGGCCCTCACACAGACCAATGCCACTTACGTGATTAGTGATTCGCAAACAGCAATTCGCAATTTTGCCAACGGACGCATCTTGCAAGAGGCGTTTCACATACTCCGACGACATCCCATACATCCAGGAGAGGTCGACTTCGATAACCGAAGGCACCTGTTATGAATCCCGGCACATACCGGACTGAGCACCCCCAACGAAGGGACTCACCGCGTTGCTCGAGGCCTCACTCACCGAGCATCGCCGGAGGACGATGAGCCCCGCGGGGAACTGCAGACATCTGGGCATGGGAGGATCGTATGACCAGGTTTCACGACATCACCACACATTACCAGTTACAAAGACGCATATACCCACCTCCTCACGAAAGGCTAAACAGAACGCAAGCGGTACACTTCAGACAATTACAAACAGATTCATACAGAAACCCTAGACTCATGTACGCCATGTATCCAGACAGGTGCACGCCATGTGGCGAGGTTGCCACCCTTAGTCACATGCTGTGGGAGTGTCAGGGTCTAATAAACAATTCGAACAGTGCCGATTCGTCTCACTATTCCACCGCCAGCCTCTTCTCGCGTTGGAAGGCCGCACTGCTCAGCTCGAACCTGACAGCACAACTCTGGGCCGTCCAGCGTGCCGAGGAAGCCGCGTCGAGACAAGGTCTCGGAATCGCATCCGCGGTGGGTGCCCAGGCCCACTAAAAAATGCCGGACTCGAATCGTCTGGATTCGACAAATAAATTTTAAGTTCTTCTTCTCAGATGCATTCCGAGAGGCGGACAGACGAGACGACGAAAGCGTTCGCTGAAGACTCGTTCACACTGCAACGCCACAGCTAAAATTTCAACTCGGGGTTTCGTAAATGCAATGATTGACAAACGGAACAAATTTATCTTGCTGAAAAGGGTCATGGAACCAATCACAGCCTATCACGACGATTTCGAAATGGTTACGAGTGCCATCAGAGCTATTCATACAACGTAATTGTTCTCCACCTTTCCACCCCGAGAGCATGCGTGGAGCTTCAACGGCATCACGTTCATGAGGCGGGAAAGCGGCTTTTTCAATTTTTTACAAGGCACAGCCTCGCTTTAGCCACTAACAATGCAAACACAAATGTGTTGTATCTGTCAGCGTGTCGCAGTAGACTTAGAACAATGTGCCACAGATTCTTCTTTGTTGTTTAGGAAAATTCCATGTATCCTGTAGATTCTAATGCTGTAGCTATTCATGTGAGCAATAACTTTAAGCCTATTCAGGGACCCTTCGGTCTTCATTTCGCTGAAGTCTGTGTGGAAGGGTATTTTCTGCATAATAATTAACAGTCGAACATTATGCACGCCATAAAGCGATGTGTTCGACTGAGACAGATCACTCGCACAGAGGCACGTTGGCGTACCTGCGGGCGGCACCACTTGGTCGAGTAGCTTGGGGCTGGTTCTCTTCCAGATCTTCTTTATGATGGCTCTCAGTTCTTCATTGGCAGTGTCAATATTCCCTACCAACAAAAACGTTTTCAGACGTGTATTTACGACAAAACAAAAAAACATTGACTAGAAAAGACGCACTACTGCTCTGACAGTATTGTTCCAATCAATCAAGATTTAATTTCAGCTTCTAATTTCAGCATCTAGCACTCTGGCACCTCAATGAAATTTGCAGTTATTTATGATAAAATTCAAATATATTTAGTATCGGTGCTAAGATGGGACACAAGTAAGGCAACCAGCACTGTGCATAGTACGTGCTTTTTGCTTTTGTTTTTCCTTACTTTTTCTTTGACAAACGTGAGATGAATATATCAACTGTTTTCGGGAGCCTTGAAACGGGTGATGAAGGCGTATCAATGAGAAAACGTTTTCCCGCTTTCATCTGTAGCATGACATCACCAAGTAATGCTGTATGCATTCCTTATGAAAAGCTTTCAATTGCTGTAAATATTTAAGGTAGCCGAATGTTAAACCATAGATATATTTTTCCATTCACTGAATTGCGAATACAGGCATTCTACATTCCAAGAAAAAAACGGAAAATCTGCCATTCATTCCTTTGGCGAGCCCTCAGTTGCCCCTTGTATATCACTCTTAGTCAAGCTTCACGTTAACTATCTCTTTGACAGCTGCACCACCCTTGACCCTCCTAAGAGAGTACAATGACTCGCGAGAAGGAGTTGGCATGCACTGCCATAGAAATGTACAGGCGTGGCAAGCCTGTAGTTGACGACTTGAGTTGCAGGTAATATTTCGTTCTTAAAATGCCCTTTTTCCTTGTGAGTGCCACCAGTCTCACTTCCGTCATTCTATAGGCCTACAGCGCACAAAACTACACCGGGGTTTTGTAGTTAGAAAGCACTGCAGAGCTTCAAGACTTTTGATAAAAATCACTAGACAATCACAAGACAGTTTTAAACATCGAGAAAAATGGAGAATCAGCACTCACCGTCTGTTTTAATCTTCAGCGAAGTACGAACTACAGCAAACAAAGTGGCGTTGAACATGACTGTGCCATCGCTATTGAGCGGCATGTTCATTGATACTAGTTTCTGCAAAAAAATGTCAGAAGAAAATTACATTTGAAGAATGACAATGGAAGCGGCTTGAAAAAGACAGGTGTCAAAGCACTGACGACTGTCCTTAAATCCGACTGCATTAATATTGTAGCATATCCTTAAGTACAACGACTCATATTTTTTTCCATTTTCTTCCTGGCGCACTTTTCATAGCGGTACTCTTTTACTGCATGTGTGGCAATGAATTGAATGGGCATTAAAATTTATTTTCGAAGTTTGAAGTAAAATTTAGGAAAAATAAACAAAAACACAAAGAATGTATATGCAGTCACAACTGCACGTAAATCACATGTTTAGTGTATTTGTGGTTTAAAAATTGCGACTTTTGGTTCACATTTCTGTATACGTTTATTGTACGCTGTGTATTTTTTTGCAACAGCAGTTATATCGACCCTTTCGTCTCCATTTTACCGCCAGCGCTGACGTTCACGTGGGCGCCGCCATTACTCACCGCATATGTATACGTATTTATATATATGAAAATGCAAGAAAGAAAAAATCTGCAACTGACTCCGAGGCACGGAATGGGACCTTCGACCTCTCAGTTCTGGGTTTAAGGCGTTAACAACAGAGCCAAGGGGGAAACCTTTTTGAACGTTGAAACGGCACGCTATATTTATTATCACAAGCTCGTGACGTGAACGAATAGAGCCCACCGCGAGTCAAATAATAAACTTTTAAATGCAAAGCATTTCTTAGTGAACTTCAGTGACTTTGAGCGTATCTATCTATCTAGCCGCATGCGACTTTTAGCTCTCCTGGCCGTTTCGATATTGATATCGATACAAATTTGATATGGCATAACATACCTGTATGAAGAACATATTTGACTAGTCATATCATTAAAGTCGTAATATGTCTGTCATAAGTGTCATGATTTGCATTTTATGGTCCTGCAGCTCTTGCGGTGGTTTCGTTCACGTGGCATGTTGAAAAACTGGTATAGTACGCCTTGATTGCGTGGCGAACACAGGTGACAGACCCTAACATGAAACTCATGACATGCGTGTCATGTAACAACATGGCTACTTGCCACGTTCATGACGTGCTCACGGCCATTTCGCTAGCGTCATATGTACCAAATTTATTATTACAGTCCGTCAGTGAATGACGAAGGTATGTGACTAGTGCAAATATGATAATCATGGGATGCTTGTTATGTCACAACATGACCACATGCCACGCTCATGATGCGCTGGCGGCCGTTTCGCTAGCTTCACTTATACCAAATTGATATTACGGGACGTGAATGGGTGACGAAGGTATGATACTAGTGAAACATGATAATCACGACGTTCAGTGTCATGTAACAACATCACTACATGCCACACTGATTCTGCGCACGCGGCCATTTCGCAAGTGTCACATAGGACTCATTTTGTACTACGTGACGCCAATGGACGACGAAGGTATGTGACCGCTGCAAACATGACAATCATAAGATGCGTGTCATGTGGGAACATGGCTACGTGCCACAGTCCAGGTGCCAATACATTTCGACGTGACGTGGTGCGCGTGCTCGCCGGCGTTCATTTTGTCGCGTCACGCCGGCGTTGCCACTGCCAGGCTCCGGTCCTGCCATATACTCGCAGGCGCGCTCCACGCTGCGTTGTCCAGCGTCCCTCTGTCACGAAAAGACAGACACGCAGTGTTGTCTGGGTAATGCACAGGCGCGAAATGCAGAATGTCGCATTTCGCACCGGTTGCCGTCAGGGCCGCGCCGACAGATGCTGGTCGCATCCTTGCGTCAGACTATAGAGTGCTCGAATTTAGCTAACGTAGCGTCGCTGTGCGCAGCATGCGCGCGGGTAAACGCTACATTGGAGTGTAATGCGCCCTTCATGATGCGCTCCCGGCCGTTTTGCTAGCTCCACATGCACCAAATTTGGTGTTACGCGACGACAGTGGATGACGAGATATATGACTGGTACAAACATGATAATCCTGACATGCGTGTCATGTAGGAACATGACTACATACCACGCTTGCCATCTAATATTCTAACGTTATCGCTAGCGGGGACGTAGGTTCCGGAATAATCTGTAATGTTCACGAGTTGGGTGTCATCTTAACAAAACGATCTACTACGGCCTCGCAGCTTCTAGAACATCGTAGGCGCAGTTTGCGCTGAACGGGGTGTAACGAGGCGATAACAAAACTTGAAAAAAGAAACATGACATTGCCCCCCTTATAAAAAGGCATCGTACCGATGCTTTAACAATAACGAAGTTACGTTAATAAGGACAATTACCAACAAGTACAAGCGATAAAGCACCACAACAACAAAATACAGTCCTCAGGTTCGCGCACTAAAATGGCTTGAGGCGCACGACACGGGCGACTTCTGGTCGAGCACGGCACCAATAAGAATTCATAATGCCGTCGGGAAGAACCACGTAGTCGAGTCGGCCAAGATGTCGAACTACTTTGTACGGTCCGAAGTACCATCGCAGAAGTTTTTCATTGAGCCCACGTCGGTGTATCGGCGTCCATACCCAGACGCGGTCCCCGGGCTTGCACTCCACGAAGCTACGTCGAAGATTGTAACGGTGGCTGTCAGTTCTCTGCTGATTCCTTATGCAAAGGCGGTCAAGTTGACCAGTTTTTTTCAGCGCGCGAAAAGTAGGCCGTGACATCGAGGTTCTCTTTGTCAGCGATGCTTGGAAGCATGGCGTAGAGCTTCGTTGCCGGGCTCTTTTCATTGACCAACTTGGACGGCGTCATATGCGTCGTTTTTGGGAAGACCCTGTTGTACGTGAAGGTCACGTTCGAAAGGATTTCATCCCACGCCTTGTGCTAGAGGTCGACGTACATCACCAGCATATCAGCGATTGTCTTAATAAGATGTTCGGAGAGGCATTGGTTTGTGGATGGTAGGCAGTATACCGGTGGTGACTTGTCTGGCTGTGCCTCAGTAGCACCTTAGTTAGGTCCACCGTGAAGGCCGTACCTCCATCATTATTGAGGACTTGTGGAGCTCCGTGACGCAGAACGAAGTCCGTCGACGAAGAAACTGTTTACCACGGAGGCACTGTCTTTGGGCAGGGCCTTTGTCTCGGCGTAGCGTGTGAGGTAGTAAGTAGCCATGACAATCCATTTGTTCCCGGAATTAGACGTAGGAAATGGCACCAGTAAGTTCATTTTGATTTGCTGTAACGGTCAGTGAGGTGGCTCGATGGGCTGGAGAAGTTTGTCTAGCCTAGTCGTTGGTATATTTCATCGCTGACAGTCGCGGTAGGTCCTGACGTAACGAATGACGTCAGTGGGGTGTCGTGGCCAGTAGTAGTTTTCTTGTATTCTTGCAAGCGTACGGGAAACACCGAGGTGTCCAGCCATCGCGTCGTCATGTAGAGCTTGAAGTACATCTGATCTCACTTCTGAAGGAACCAGAAAAAGGTATCCGGCTCGAAGGCGCGAGAAGTTCTTCTTTAAGGGAACTCCATGTTGCAAGAACAACGACTCCAATCCCCTCTTATAAACATTCGAAACAGTCATGCTGTTAGCCTGAATGTATTCCACAAGGCTTTCAAGTTTCTGGTCAGCTCGCTGTTGCTCGGCGAAGCCATTGGTAGTTATTGTTCCTAAAGAGCTGTCTTCCTCCAGGCCGTCGGGGGGCGGTGGTTCGACGGTGGCTCAAGACAAGCAGTCAGCGTCACAGTGTTTTCTTCCTGACTTGTGAACGACAGTCACTTCGAACTCTTGGAGTCTGAAGCTCCATCGTGCGAGGCGACCCAAAGGATCGTTCAAGTGCAGAACGTGCTGGAACGTCACAGGCGCTGAGCGAAAAACCAAATGGCATGACCTTAAACTCAAAGAGGCCGTCTTGTGTGATAAAGGCCGTCTTCTCTCGATCTCTCTCGTCAACCTCAATTTACTAATAGCCCGTCTTAAGGTCCATCAATGAAAAGTACTTCGCATTGTGGAGTCACTCCAGGGCGTCGTCTTTACGTGCAAGATGCTACACGTCCTTCTTTGCGATTTTGTTCACGCGGTGGTAATCAACGCGAAAACGTAGGGTCCAGTACTTCTTTACTAATACCATGGTTGATGCCCACGGACTTTTGGATGGCTTAATGCTGTCGTCGCGTAGCATTACGTTGACTTATTTCTTTGTGAAGTGGCGTTCGCGGGTCGAGACTCAGTACGGGCTTTCTCGAACTGGTCAGGCACTTTCTTTTGTGATGATGCGATGTTTCACGACAGGGGTTTGTAGAATTCACAATGATGACGAGAAGCAGTCCTAGAATTGCAAGAGCCGAGACTTGAGCTTGTCTTCCTTGCACTTTGAAAGGCTCGGGTCGACATCGAAATCTGGTTCAGGACCTCAGTTCGTCGAAGCAGCATCAGCAACATTGAAGAGGGAGAATGAATTGCTCGCCTCCGCAAATTCATCGATGTAGGTGACCGTCGTAACACGGTTGATGTGCCTGTATTGGCGACTGAAGTTTGTCAGCACCACCTTTGCTTTGCCGTCACAGAGCTAAGCTATGCCTCTTGCGACACAAATCTGACGGTCCATGGGAAGGTGCTGATCGCCCTCGACAACGCCTTCAAAATTTTCAGCTTTTTGGTGCTTAAATGAAATCACGATGCTGGATGAAGGTGGCATGGTGCCCTGCTCTTCTAGCACATTGAATGCATGTATACTTGGCGTTGTAGGGGTCGGTGGCTTGTTTTCCGAAGTTAGGGTGATTGACTCACACCTCAGGTCAATGACAGCGCCATGTTGACTTGGAGAAAGTTCATTTCAAGTGTCACATTCCAAGAGAAATTTCGTAAGAAGACAAAGCTCACGGGACAAATCTTGTAATTGATGATGAGTCTAGATGTGCAGACTACAGTCGGCGTTATGAAGTGACCTTCAGTGGTCCGGATTTGAGGGCCTTGCCATGCAGTTTTAACTTTTTTGAACTTCGTCGCGAATGACCCACTGACGACGGAATCATCGGCCCCAGTGTCCATGAGAGCAGTGA